CCCACGACCTTTGTTGTAACTCATATTATAGTTTAACCAAAAACCCCTTCGATCTCTTGTAAATCTCAATTACACCAAGGCTAACTTTATTAGCAGCTTAATGAGCTTAATAGGACTCGCAACTTATTCAGTCAGTTATACATGATTGTTTAATAGTGGCTTAACGATATAGAAAGTGTCTTATTCAATAAGATTCTAGGGACAGCTTCATACAGAAAGCCAAGTTTTTTCTCCAAACCCTCCCCTTCCCAGTTAAAAAATACGTTCCTTCCCTATTCCATCTATAAAGAACCTTTCCCAAACAAAAACGTTCTCAATCCATACAGACAGATTAATCCATATAGCAATAGCTTTGCACCATTAGGAATCAAGATTTCTATTACAAAAGTTGGGAGACAATGTGCTTAAGAAAGTGGAAAGCAACAAAACTAATCTCTTTCTGATTCAGATCCATCTCAGATCTTACCCATTAGATTTACAGCAATGAAAGACTATTGATTGGCAAACGTTCTAGGAATCATTCTGGTGAGATATGATTGAGAAATGGGTACTAATTTACCACAAAATTAGATATATATTTGACTAAGAAGAACAACGGTCGTTGGTTGGTTGGTCCGATCACACGGCTGGGAAGTATTTGTTGAGATTGAACGGCAGAGCGTAGAACTCTTCGCTTCTTGAGTCGGTGTGGAATGAACGGAACTTATCCCACCAATGCTTGCCTCTGTCTTTTCTTACCGAACTATCGTTCCTGTGAAGCGTGTTGTCCAGAAAGTACGCCACGATACCGGCCACAAAAGCTTCGGATGAGAACGGAACGTTGACCATGTTGTTGAACTACAAGATTAGCAACATGAATCAAGGTTAGTGAGAGGTGACGGAACGTCTGTTAGAGTCCCACATTGGCTAGACTTTGACCATTTCTTCTCTCGATATATGTTGGAACTTTCGTTCTCTCCTCAAGGTCTATTACTCGAGGCCAATCTATACTCGTCTATCCCCAATCTCGACATTGAGTGTGTTTAGTATCCAGACAAAATAGGACAGAACAGTTGTTTAGCGTTTGATAAAACAGAACTAGGCAGGACTAAACAGATAAAACGACCAATTTACCTCTAATGAATTGTTTATATATTTATATTTTGATTAATTTATGTAATTTATTAAATTATAATAAAATAAATATTTTTATGACAAAAATATATCTTTAGAAAGTTTTCATCAAAGACGATTAAGCAACACTAAAATAAAAAAACACGTAGTTTCCAATTTTTACTTTATACATTTTTCTATATTATTTTTTTATTATTAGTTAATAAATTACATAAATTAATCAAAATATATAAACCATATAAAATAATATTCTGAGAACAGTAAAGTGAAAATTTAAAGAGCATAAAATACAATAAATAAAATTTAAAGAATGAATATTTAAAATAGAATTAGGTTTTATTTTGATATTATATAGGTAAAATATAGGTATGTTCCACCTTGTTCCATGGGATAGGGTGGAACACGTCTCTTCCACTTTGTTCCATGGGATAGAGTGGAACACGCTTGTTCCACTTTGTTCCACATATAAGTCCTGCCAAACATGAAATAGTGATCCATGTTTTGTTCTGTCCTGTCTAGTATACTAAATGCACCCTCTAGGACAATCCATGCATCTACATCTAGCCTCCATTGTATAAGAATGCGTTAGAGTCCCAGATTAGCTAGACTTGGACCATTTCTCCTCGGTATACGTTGGAACCTCCCTTTTATCCTCAAAGATTTTTTTTGGAGAGTAATCTAATGGGGTTCCACGTATGCTCAAAAAATCGAAACCCGTTAACTATCGCTTTAAGGTCTTGTCTTTGACCTTCCAAATTCAAACCGATAACGATTCGTGGTAGTAGTTAGAAAGGTTCAAGATTTTGATCCATCTTTCTTGAAATCTTTAGAATTCATCAATACCGAATATCGGTATTTAGGAATGAATCTAGGAAAGAGACCGAAGTTTGTTTAATATTCGAGAGATTGTTTTAGCACATACCCATCTCCCAGAAGTGTGGACGGGACCATAACCGTTGATCGCTTCGTATTCGTTGAAATATTGGGGGACAGACAAGCCCAGAAAGATCGAAAAACCGAGAATGAACTTTGTTCTGAAGCTGTTAAGGTTGCAGAATTGAAGAAAACTCAAACCCGATGAACCTAGAAACACGAAAAGACATTATCAACCATGAATTCTACCGACAAAGTGATAAAAAACGAGGAAAAAGAACGATTGATTGAGGGTATTTATGTAAACTTACCAACGTAAGCAAAGAAAAGGCAATACAGAGCAGCAACAATCGGTGCGGGAATTGAAGCAAAAACTGCTCCAAATTTACCTGCATGATCATGTTGGCAAATAAGAACAATCTTGAATCTTTAGAAGATGAAACGTTAAGAAAGATCGATGATTTACAGCTCGAAAACGATGAATTAAAAGCGAAATCCGGAAACAACATACCGAGCACCGAAAAGAAGATCATGAACCCTGCTGAGATCTGTACAACTCTTCGACTGCCGACACGAGTCACGGCCAAGAGGCCAGCGTTCTCACTGCAATACATCCAGGTAACTTAGGCCATGTTTTGCGGGGTCTTTTTTCACTTTTTTTTCCAATTATGCCCCTTATATATTTTCATAGCATGTCCTTTTAGGTCATTTTGCATTAATATCTAGCGTATCAACTAGTTTTTACCAATTACTAGTTTATCAGCCAGATTAGCCAACAACTAGCTCTTTTCAGCTACCAGCTAGTTTATCAGCCAACAGCTAGCTTATCAGCCTAGTTTGTCAAACATAATCTTAACATCAAAAGAAGCTTTATGAAGAAAACTTGTGATTCCGAAGCAAAAAGGGTAGGGTTCGTCACTCACATAGATACGGAAGATCCGGTCACAGTTCCAAACAAGCCGGACAACAAAATGCCAATTCCCTATCGACAAAAACAAATATATAGATTAGTCCATGCTCACGTTTCAATAGTCCGAGCATGTATTTTTCAAATGGTTTCTAACATCACGAATCTTTTTGTTAAATTACGGTAATTACCTGCCACCCGATACCGCGGCTTAGAATTGATGGAGGCAAAGGAGTCGCACTTGCATACCTTGAAACCGCAATAAAGCCGCCAGTCGACTGATAATATGATTGCAACATGTAAAAGATATATAAATAAGTTTGCAACTAGACAACGGATTCGACAACAGAGGGAAATCAACTGAGAACCGCGAGAACCAATGAATCATGTATAGTTGTATTGTTTCACATGTGAAAAATAATACCACCTTGAATCCTAGCCTTAGATGAAACTCACTGAAGGGTCGAGATTGATTCTCACGGTTCTAATTTGGTTTTTCCCCTTTGGACCCATGTTCTTAATGGTTAACTACACGGATCTTGATATCGATCTAGTTGACCGATAAGAATTAGTGGAAAATAACAACGGACCTCCACAAGAGCTACAAAAGCAGTCATCATCATGGCAAAAGCTTCACCGGCATCAAACGAGGGTGCTCCCCATTGAAAGGGATACGGAACTCTTATCCTGAAAATATGAAAAAAAATCGTTATAAAGAATCAAGAAACCAAGAACCAAATAGGTAGCGACTTATGAGACCCCAATCGTTCAGTATTTGTAACCTTCACACAATATAAGGGTATCTTCACAAATCTCACGACAAACCTTCACACGAGATGAAGGTACCTTCACCTTCTCACGAAAAGGGGTTGTTCTTACCGGAAAACCGCTACGTTATATATAGAAAGAGAGAGAGGGAGGTTCAAACGAGAACAATAACTAAATAAAAGAACACGAAAACAACCAAATCACGTACAAAATCACACATGATTTTACACTAACGGTCAACGTAAAGGTCTGCAGGCGACGTGGCCCGCACCTGATGATTCACATATGATTCAACCGTTTTCTTGTTCTCTTATTTAGTTAATGTTCTTGTATGAACCTGACTCTATATATGTGTGTGGGGGGGGGGGGGTATGCACATTAAATATAGTAATTTGGGATTTATCAATACGTGGACACGGTTACTCATAACAGAGTCTACTAACCACGGAGCAGCGTCAATTAGTCCGGAACGATCAGTACGACAACTTATTTGCGTCTTTGGTGCCGTATGATTGTAGGCCCCACCAACGGTAAGCAGGTGGGCGTAAATCCAAACTATTGTAATGGAGATCAGAACCGAAAACTTGTCAAAGATGGCCTTTCCTGAATGTATCACATGAGACAGATACTGCACATGACCAAATAAACCAAATTCTTCCGAGTTAATAGTTGATGGATTCCGTTTCCGTCTTTACAAGTTGGAAGTTCTATTTATTTATCTCATTTACCGTCGACGGTTTTGGTTAAATATGAACATATGGTTGTGGGTCCCATTTAGTCAACCAGAACGGAACCCACAAAAACGGATATATAAGTAGTGCAATGCAAGGGAAAGTTCGTTTAGGAACCCTAAATATTTTGAGAACAGTGGGAACCAACTACTCATGAACTATTCATGATGAATATACTTAGATATTCATAACTATTATTCATCATGAATATCATGCATTTTTCATTACTCATATCATTCATCATGAATAGTTGGTTATCACGGTTCTCAAAATACTTACAGTTCTCAAAGGCCCATGTGACGTAAATATTACCTGAGACAAGATGACTACGATGAGGAGTTGAGGCAGCCCAATTTCAATGCACCTCGCAACCTAAAAAGACCAACTCAAATTTAATTCACGACCGTGAAAGTGAAAGATTTCTTGATTTTGTTTTAAGGATACAAGTATATATACTCACCCCGGGGAATCCAAATTCATAGAGCCCAAAACCAGCAAGACCGACCAACGGAGCAGCCGAAAGCGGACTCAAGAATCTATGATGATGTTTCAGAAAGAACGTTACTTTTCACCAATGCGAAATTAGAGCATTTTCAGTGAAAGCATAACCAATTGCAAATGACAATTTATCTATGATAATGAAAGATGACTATTTTGTAACGTTTAACTCCATCCATCCCAAAATAAATGTCGACAATGAAAAAGGCACACAGTTTTAGAATTATGTGATTATTACATTTTTTAATCAACTAAATGACAATTTTACCCTTAATAACAGAGGGATATGAATTTGGAAGGCGGGCACTTACTTTTGAAAGTGGACACTTATTCTGGAACAAACTAAAACAGAAATATGGACACTTATTTTGGGACAGAGAGGTTAGCAAATAAGAAGTCTTGATGCAACCAATTAGTTAAACGGTTTGTTGAATTTCAAACCAACCTTGAAACGTTCCGCCAAAGACCACTAAACCCCAAAACGATCTGAAGTGTTGAAGCAACAATCAAAGCACCTTGGATTGCACGCATTGTCTTCTCGAATTTCTAAGCAGTGGATACAAGTAAACACAAAGTTAATGCATTACATTTCAAGATTTTGTTTCTTGTTCAGACCTCATCCCGTTCACCCATCACCATCAAGATAAAACCAAACCAAACAAACCCAGTAAATCCCACCTGGACCCACCTGGAGGTGGGGTCAGGTGTGGGTAGGATGTACACAGACTAACCACCCACCAGAAGGGGTAGAGTAGTTGTTTCCATGAAAACCCCTGGCTTGTGAAAAGTGTAGCAAGGATAGACAAATATGATGAATCTTTGAAAAGCCAGTTAAGAGTTAAGCATCACCATCAAGATGGATTTTGGTATTCAAACACCCAATCAGATTCCAAGAAATCTTGATAACAAACCTTTATAGGGTCTGGATCGCTCCATCGACTAGACAAAATGATGGAGATCGTGGGTGCAACAAAAGTATACGAACCCCCGATCACAGCTGGTAACCTAGTCCCAAACAAAGTCTGCAGCAAAGTGTTCCACCCAGCGACGAAAAGTAAAGTTTGGATGACTTTCGCTTTCTCCTCCTGAAAGAATCATTTAACATAGTTACCATCAATTACGAGAAAACATGAATAAATATCAATACAACAAAAGCAGCTTTACAGGATGCCAAATATGTCTAAATGTCCTAAAAGACTGTTTTAAATGACTTAAGTTTATAGGACCAAACAATTGTGAGGTCCTATGCAAAGGTGTTGTGTCGTATAAAAGGACTAATAAGACGCTTTATTTCAATATTGTCCTAAAAAAATTGTTATGGCACCCAAAAGCATCCTATCAACTTATTGCAACACCTTTACGTAAGACGTACAATTGTTTAGTCTTGTAAACATAAGTCCCATATAACAGTAGACATATCTTTTTGGAAGGGTGTCCAAGCTATGCCTCGATTAATCCCGGCAAATTGTGACTGCAAGAAATCAGCCAGCCCTGATAAACTCAGTGGCTACAATTGTTGTGTACGCCTGGAATCAAACCCTGGGAAGATGGGATATTCCACCACATTCTCCAGGACCTCAACCACTACGCCACAACCCTTGTGGTTTAAAGCAGACATATTTGACGTCGTAGTGTATGTATTTCAATTGTAATGTCTTACGTTTCCGCCTCCCATTTGAGGAACAAGAGCTGTAGGAATAATAACCGTCGTGCCAAGCATTACCAAATAATGCTGAAAACCGAGTAGAATAGCTTCAGCTGCAGCAAATATGCAAAGATTCGAATCAATAAGCGACTCACCTTTCGGGGTATTCCTCGAGAGAGAAATTTGGATACGCAAATAGAAAATTCCAAATACGACTTTTTTGATTAAGCATTGAAACAAATCAACTAGAATCTTGGGGCTTTACAAAAGTATCTGCTTTTTAAGTAAAGGGTTTGTCTTAATGAGATCAAATGGCGGGGAAAAAGAGATCGAAAAGCCATAAACTTCCATCTTATGAAAACTGCAGCTTTTCCTTTATTTAGCGCGATAATCGCTAAAATAGCCAATTTCGGAGGCGGGTTTGTCACAAAATAGCCAATTTTACAAAATAGCCACAGAGTTCGCAAAATGGCTTTGCGAATTCCCGTTAGTTTGCAGCAGACCAAGTGAATCTTGTGGCCCAAAATCCTCAAAAGTTGGATGTTTTTGTGAAATTGACTGTTTTGTAGCGGACTATCGAACTCCATTTACATATATACCCATGTGTTTCGTTACAAAATACGAATTCTAATCGCTTCCGGGCCACAAGATTCACTTAGTTTGCCACCATTAAAAGGGTATTTTAGACCAATGATGAAAAAATATTTAGTGGGATGGCAACAAGATGGAATACACAGAGCTTATTACTGCATATAAAAATGCAGATTCATTCAGCCAGATTCAACAAAAGGATCAAATACAATTCAATCAACAAGGTCTGATTGAAACATTTCAGAACCCAGAATCAGATTACACAAACGAAACAAAAAGATGAACACATGAGGTCAAAAAAACAGAACATAATCTTGATTTTCACAAAGATTCTTAAAGTGTAAAGAACAAAATTCAAAAACTATGAATATATGTACAAGAATCAGAATGAATTGGTACCAGGTTTCTAACATTAAAGAATCTTTAAAAGAAACCCTAAAAAAAGGACCTAATCTTGAACCACTTTCCATAAAAGGAATCTCAGGTTACTTTTTTCACAGAAAATTCTAAAAAAGGAACATAAATTTCAACAAGAATATACTAAAAGAAACAAGAAACTTACGCCATGGGGGTGGACTTGTAATGCAGTAAGTAACACCAAGAAGCTGATCTTTTGGTGGGTGTGGTGCAGGTTCGTCGGATTTTCCTCCGCCACCACCTCCGGCCATCGCTCTTTTCCGGTGAAGTTATAGTATAACCCCTAAATCTGCAAAGATGAACAAAACCCAGATCGGAAATGCTCAATTATCTCACGAATTTATCAAAAAAAAAGTGAAAAACAGCAAGAAAATGAGATTGAGAGCAGTTTGGAAAGGTGAAATGGTATGATTTCGATAAAGAAACCTCAAGAACAAATGACAAAGATTTTGAGCAAGCAACCCACATGGAGGAGTAGTAATGGACACACACACCCACACCCACTACAGGTGTGTAAATTTGTTCAAATGGAGAAACGACAAAGTGGGTAAATAATTGGTGAGTATGTGTTTCCAGTGAATCAAAACGACAGTAAATTTCAATCTGATTTAAAAGTAACAAAAGAACCCTTTTTTTGGATTTAAAGAGCAAAGGGTAAAGTTTCTTTTTCATTCATCCAAAGCTCATTTAGTTCAAGAAAGCTACTTTTCACCAACATCTTGATTTCTTTACCCAATAAGCAAATTCAAATGGGTGTGCCTGGAGATTCAAAGGGTAAATGTTTTTTTTTTTTAATTATGGGTTTCTGGATTTGTCTGTGTACATCTCGACTAATCATAAAAGTTTTGAATAATAGTTAAGAAATCTCCAGTTATTTTAAAGGTCCAAGTTTTATTGTCAGTTGAGCTAACCCCACGGAGTTAAATCATGTGAATGTTACAAACTATACAAACTATGAAACCAATATTAACTGTTTATCGAGCCTAGTGTACAATTAGTTTTATAAATATCCCGTTTTCTGATTTAAAGCAACAATCATAATAAATGAACCATATCATTTACATGTAAAAATATTGATTTTAATAAACGAACAATGAACAGTTACCATCTTTCATAAATATCTGATTGCTTCTTTAACATAAGGTTTGTATTTAAAACTTCCTCGTTGTAAATATTTATAAATAAATAAATCATTTGATTTAAATTTGAAACAATCTTTTCACCTATATTTTATAAATCTAAAATGGGTAATTGCATGAAAAAATAATATACTTTAACTGCATTTCTTTCTTTCTTTTTTTGATTAACCTGGATATCAAACCCCTGTTATACGAGCTGACTAATCTCAGGGCGACCACCTGCTTTGCAGATAGCCCGGAGTCACAGCATTTGAACCTCCGTGGCCACAATGAAATTTTTATTCCTCCTTGGATTTGAACCTGAGACCTCCTGGTACTTTTGACCTTTGGAGCCAAACTCAAATCAATCAGGCACCACCCTTGTGGTTAACTTGAATTCTTTTTGGTAACGTACTTTCAAAACTTCCATTTTAGTACCTAAGATGTAGAGTTTTAAACATTTAAGTACTCGGATAACCATTTCAAGACTAATTTTAGATTTAAAAAAAAAATCATGTTACTTACCACGTCAGCAAATAATACTAAGTTAGATACTACATCACTCGTCATATCACCATGATAACCGGTTAATGCTTCAACCGGTTACCCGGATACTTAAATCTTTAAAATTTTACATTTTAAGTACCAAAATGGAAGTTTTGAAAGCACGTTACTGTAAATAGGAATCAAGTTAAAGTACGTTATTTTTTTCATACAATTTGTCCATTTAAAATGTTCAAAAGTATTTGAAATGTGGTTATAGAAGAACAAAATAAGATGGATGACTAAAATCAAGAAAATTACAAGCCCCATCAAGAAAATTTTCAAAAAGTTCAAACTTTATGATGATTTGTCAAACATTTTTGCAAAAAAAGTCAGAAGAAAAAAAGCCATTGTCATGGTGTATATCTAAAGTACTTTTTTAAAACGATAAGTATAAATGAAACAACTGAAAAGTAAAATATAAATAAAAAACAATACATATTCAGATAAAAATGTTGATTATCAGTAATCTCATTGGTCCCACACATAAACTGTTATTGAGCATCATATGCAGGGACGAACTCGTAATTTTTTCAAACGATGGTATTATTTGATTATAAGGAAAGTTTTTTAAATGGTGACACCGTTTGACTATAAGAAAAAGATATACGGGAAAAAAAATCAATGGCGTCATTTGACTAATAAAATGACATTAAATTGGGTCTGGGTGGATAAAGGTCTTGCAAATCAACTCTACCAAATAAATTTTGTTTTCATTGTAGTTTCAAAACACATAAGGTGGCACACAACAGATTAATATGGTTGCACATTTCACGAACCTAAAATTTTTTACCCTTTGACGGAGGAATAATACGGTGGCACCACCGAAGTAGGTTCGTCCCTGCTCGCATCCAATATGATTTGAATCTAAACCTATTAAAGATTTAAGCAAAATTAACTTCGTTCATTTAACAACTGAGCTACATGTTTAACGACATGTAAAATGCTACGAATTTCCAAATTATAATAAACAAAAATGGTTTATAAATGTCGAAATCAACATGATCAGAAGATAATGCAGTTTAAATGAGTATTTGACCTCCTATGAGATCAGAGGTTCAAACCTCACTAAAGGGTTGTTTGTTTACCTCTTAATAGTTTCATTAAAAGGCTTTTAATGGTTCTAAAAACTTTTGAATGATTTTGCACTATAACATGAGAGCATCTTAATCATTCTGACCACTTAGTCATTCAGCATCAAAATATTCAGCAATTGTCAAACAGCCCCTAAATATAAAATAATGTGTGAGTTTATTTGTTCTATTTATTATATGTAAATAATAAAATATTATATTATTCAATGAACATGAAATCCAATCAAATAATGGAAACATGTGAATATGGAAGATGATGAGAGATGTTTCTCTCTCCCATCGTTTTTTATTTCCTTTTTATTTACAAAAACATGAGGAATCTTGGAACCGACAGAATTAATTATATTCTCTCCCTCTTCAAAATATTATTAATATATAAAAAAAAAGAATTCTAAATAATTGTATTAAATTTACACCTAACAAATTAAATTTTATTGAAGGTTTGGTCAAAATAATATTTTATTTATTTAAATATTACTTTTTGTTGTAAAAAAAATTCAATTCTTTTTATTAACGTGGAAATATCCAATCCGCTATGCGAATCGAGTAATTTCAGGACGAACACTTGTTTTGCGGGTAGTCTGGAATTATCGCATTTGAACATTCGTGGCCACAAAATGATTTTTATTTCTTCTTTGATTTGAACATGAGATCTTTAGGCACTTTTGACATTGGGAACCTAAAATCAAACCGATCAAACACCACCTTTATGATTAAAAAAAATCCATTTTTATTTATTAACTTGGATATCCAACTCGCTATATGAGTCGACTAAGCCCAGTATGACCATCTGCTTTGCGGGTAATCCGTAGTCACTGCATTTAAACCTCTGTGGCTACAGTAGGGTTTTTATTTCTTCTTGGATTTGAACTTGAGATCTCTAGCTATTTTTAACCTTTGAAGCTCAAACTCAAACCAATCAAGCTTACTTTAAAAACAAATCCACTCTTTCTAAGTTACAAGTAGGGGGTTTTATGTGAATAGTTCTTCTGTCATTAAGGTGATGGTATAATAATCACAAAGGTGGTGCCTGATTGGTTTGAGTTTGGCTCCATATAATATCAAAAGTACAGAAGGTCCCAGGTTCAAATTCAAGGAGGAAGAAAAATCCCTTTGTGGCCATGGAGGTTCAAATGCGGTGACTCCATGCTATCTGCAAAGCAGGTGGTCGTCCTGAGATTAATCGGCTCACATAGCGAGTTGGATATTCAGGTTAATAAAAAAAAGGTGATGGTATAATAATAGATATATTTTATTTTTGAATAAATTTTATTGGTGTATTTAATTTGATTTAGTTTAATTATGTTTGCTATAAAAAATCCTAATTTATTTTTAAAGTTAATAAGATATTATTTTTGTGAAAATCAATATTTTAAATATCTTATAACAATTCTAGTCAAGAATTTATTTTCCACACAATTATTTTAATTAAAATCATATATTAATTTACAGATATCTGAATGCTTTTAAATCTCACGTCTGGTCAACAATACAACTTTTATGCTATAAAAAACTTTACATTTTAAATTTTCTGTATATTTTGTTTCTACCAGATATATATAATGATTGTCCAAAAATATCGATAATAAATGCATAATACTGACTAAAAGCGATATTTAAACCAAATTAAAGTTGATATAACGACATTTTTGGTTCACCTTGAACGTCATAATATCTGATACGTACGAATACAATAACTAGATTTATTTATTATAAAATATGGTTAAAATGGACTAAAACTGATCAATTGCTTCATTAATACTGAAGTTGGTACATAAGAGATTATTCCAGTAAAAAATGATATAAATTTCAGTAAAAAATGTCATCGTCTTTGTTATTTTAGACATGCATTTTCGAAATAATTATAATAATGTATAAATAAAAGTCAAATAATCGTTTTGTTACAACCCACGCTCCATTTTTTAAATGACAAACTGTTAATTTCGGTTCATTCTGAAAAATCTATACTTGTAATTGTTATTTTGAAAAATAAATTATGTTTTATATTATAGCTTTGTTAATTATTATTTTTATTTGAAATGTTTTATCATGAATATTAGAGCAAATTACATGAAAAGTAACGTACTTTAACTTGATTATTATTTTGGGTAACGTATTTCCAAAACGTCCATTTTTGTATCTAAGATGTAAAGTTTTAAACATTTAAGTACTCGGATAAAACCGGTTGAAGCATTAACCAGTTACCATGCTGATGTGGCGAGTGATGTGATATCCAACTCAGTATTATTTGTTGAAGCATTAACCGGATACCCCATCACTCGTCACATCAACATAGTAACCGGTTAATGCTTAAATCAGTTACCCGAACACTTAAATGTTTAAAACTTTACATCTTAGGTACCAAAATTAAAGTTCTAAAATGCATTACCCAAAACAAGAATCAAGTTAAATTATGTTACTTTTTTATGCAATTTATCCTGAATATTATATAAATTTTTTGAAATAAATTAACAATAAAAATAAATATATTTGATTTAAATAATAATTAAAAATTAGAAATATAGATGCAATAATTAAAGCAATAAAGCAAAGGGGTAGCCCTATTTTCAACAAAGGGATGCATTGGATTTGCAAAACAATGCCCCATAACACTCACTTTTTCCAATAACTAGAATTTAAAGGACACCCCCACACTTTCTTTTGTGGACTTTTATGTTTGTTTAATCCAATTTAAACCATTTTATCAATTATGGCTTATTTA